ATCACCTCCCTGCTCCTGCTGGCCACACTGTTCTTGATGCAGGCCAGGATGCCATTGGCCTTCTTGGCCACCTGGGCACACTGCTGGCTCATGTTCAGCCTCCTGTCGATCAGCACCCCCAGGTCCCTTTCTGCCTGGCTGCTCTCCAGCCACTCTGTGCCCAGCCTGTAGCGCTGCAGGGGGTTGTTGAGGCCAAAGGGCAGGACCCAGCACAGTTGTTTCTGTCTTTTGTGGCAAGAGTATAATTTGAAATCACTGGTAACAATCAGTGGCTTGTAAGCTCTGTTTCTTAGAATACTTTTGCAGATGGGCTTCTTTCACCTTCAGCTGTGAGCATCAACAGGGAAGAAGTAAGAATTAATTTTGATGCTTCTTACCTAGTCTGAAAGGGATAGTGTTCTGAAAGCTGATGCAGTTTTAAAGGTCAGATCCTGTAAAACATTGTGATTCCTAGCCAATAATGTGTCTTCTGGAACTGCTTATTTAGTGTGGAGTTGCACTGCAGACTTTCCCATCCTTTTGTCTGGGCTTCATCGAGTATTTGCCAGGTGCAGTGACCAATAAAACCAGGAAGGATCTGAGTTTTGCAAGAGGCCTTCTATAACAGAGGCAGCAGGTATAGACAGCTGTTTCTCAGATCCTGCGGAGCCATATGGTGAGAAAGGTGTTGTCCCTCCCGTTTCCTCAATTAGCAGTTTGATCTAACTGTATGGAAGACAGAGTTTTGGCTCTGTGTTGGAATAGGACTGTGTGATGCTCAGAAAAAATAAGGTCTTGTTCCATGCCGAAGATACTTCTAAATCCTTCCTGTTCATCTGTGTATTAATCCTAGCAGGGCCCCAGGGGCTGTAGCCACAAGAATGACATTTGGATCAACTTGCACACTACTAATGTATAGCATATACCCAGCTAAGTGGGAGGTAACATCCACTAAACATGTCATCCCAGAATACCAGGAGCTATTTCCATTGTATCAGTATAGCAGGTCACTGTTAAATACCTGCTTTTGTCCTTCTGAATCTACCTATTTTCATCCTTATAACTGTAATACATAATTTAAAAGAGAGAGGCCCACTCTCAGTTGCTGATAACTGGCAGGGTTTTATTGACCTTGTGATTGATAGCAGACCTGTGCCTCCTAAGAATCTGGTTTGAGCAGATGTCACAAACTCGCTCTGAATGTCCCTTCAGCATACAGATTGCAATTGCCCTCCCCCTGCCCTCCACAAACACGGCTGTCCATGGCAGGCTGCTTTTTCATTGGTGCCCATAACAAAAATGTACTGTGCTCGTACTGGAAAGTATTTACTATTTGCATGTGGGGCTTTAATTGCTTTTGCTTCTTTGTTATTAATTTTCAAGCCTCCAGTAAAAGCACTAGGTGTGAATCCTGTGCTCCCTGGCTTGCAAAGAGTAATTAATTGATCAGATCTATTTTCTTTTTGTTGTCCTGTGGACTGAGAGATAATGGTGTGCAGTGGGGAGGACATTCCTGCTACAGATAGTATTTCTGCAAATCCTGCAAAGCATAGCTAATGATCTGTGGAGTACCATCCAACATTCAGTGAGCAGGCTGCCTGCCTGCTTTGTCATCCCCCGCACCATGTGCATACATGTGCATTTGTGTTCTGTATTTTATGGTGTGATCAAAACCAGCCTTTGGTTAATGTTTTAGTAACTCCTATTTCTCATTGTTCTTACTAGCAGCAGTAACGTTCGCAATTTCAATCTGTGGCAGGAAGCACATTTCTTTTCTTAAAGGAAACCTGAAATAATTTAGAGGCCACAGAAAAGGGCGGCTTGCAATTTGCATTGCTGCAGTCTCGTAAAGAAAACAGGTTACAAGACAGACCCTGATTTATTTAAAATCAAACAAACGAAAAAAATGAGGTTTGTGTTTTTTCTTTCCAAATATGCAAACCTAAAGAATGTATTCAAGCATCTGGCTAATTCGCATACCATTAATTCTCTAAAGACTACATATGCGCACCCAATTAGACCTGCATCATTTATTTAAAAAATGAATGTACTCTTGTATTTATATTTTATAGCTGTGCCAAATTGCTGAAGGACATAGAGGGAAGAATTTTATAAGCAAAACGTGCAGAGCCCTTTGCTTAGAAAAGTTGAAATTATCAGCACTTTAAATTAAAATTAAAAACCACTGACGTACTATTTTGGTATTAGTTGAATGGGTTAGTTTAGAACTTGGCAAGAGGTGGATTATCACAGCCTTTTTCAGAGGATATGTGTGTGGGATGGGAAAAGCTAATCTGTGCCCTGACTACCCCTTTCATCTCTCCGGTACCTGAGAGTGCCGAAGGCACTCAAATCCTCAGAGGCAATGACACTCTTGTCTTATTCTCAGCAGCAAATTCCTGCGAGGTCTGCTAACCAGGAGGAGAGACAGTGGTTAGCTGTCACCTGCCTTATGTCAGGCTTTGCTGGAGTAAAGTTGCCATGGAGATCGGCCGGAGTTTAACTGAGCAGGGACCGCAGCGCTTCGCCCTGTGCGTGTAAATTGGTTTGACATGTCGTGTGTATCAGGTTTGGCTCTGCTGCTCACACGTTTGAGGTCCACTAGCTTTTTTTGTGCCCCCGTTTCTCTGTGGGAGAGCTGAACAACTGCCGTGCAGTGCTCATAGCCCTGTGACATTAAAAAGATAGGCGGAATTGGTATTGGTGCCTGCTCTTCCAGAGCCAGTATAAAAGCAAATCGGGGCGCCAAAGGATGTTTAGTGCTTGTAACTAAGTCCTGTAAAGTAGAAGGAACTACCCCAGGCTGGAGCCTCTCTTAGGACAGTAGTAAAGGTACTGATTGTCTGAAAAAGAGAATTGTTTAGAGGCAGAAACAGAAGTCTATAACTTGAGAGATGTTGGAAGGAGGAATCTTTCCAACTCATTTTTAGAACTTGTAAAGCAGATTAAAATATGGGGAAGACTGCTGAATATAAATGTCTGCTTTACACTTGTAAAGGGTATGCAGTCTCCATGTGCTCAGAAACATTGCTGGGAAAACATCAATTAAAATGCTTGAGACTGACAAAGGCTTTAAAGCTGTTGAGGTAAATGGTGACTCATATTGGCTGAGAAGCAGGAAGGAAAAACACTTAATGGCCTACACCCCAAGCTGTACTCTGGAAAGAGGCTTCCCAAGGGGTAGACTTGCAGGCACTGGAATTTAGCCAATGCCTTCAGAGGTGAAGAGCCAAAGTATTTTTCAGTGATTCGGCAGCATGCCTGCTGGGTTTACAATGCATGTATGTTTGCAGGGTGTTACAGAGAGGAACTTGACATATTTCTAATTTTAGAGTAAGAGAAAACAACCATCTGGTGAAAATATTTGGAAGGAAGGGTTAAAAATTCGGAAACTTTGAAGCGGGAAGAATTGGGGAGGGGGAGATAGGGCAAATGAAGAGATGGATCTTTGAACACCACTTACTCCAGGAGAAACTGTGGAGCCCTCCTGAATATACTGCCTGGACCGTGGCATCAGGTTGAGAGGGGAACGAGGCTTCTGCTGTGCTTATCCTGAGGAAAAAACTCTGGTCCTTTCCGAAGAAGCTGCAGCTTGTGCTTCTCAAAGACTGGTGTGAAGCTCTTTATTAATGGAAAAACGCCTGATCACATGCATCAAATGCATCTTCCCCTCTTCCTCCTCCTCTTTATTTTCCGTACCACTCTTAACAATTTAATCCATAGCAGTTTATCTTCATGGCTTGTAATTGATCTGTCTGCGATTTAGCTCATCAGATGCTCATTAAAGAGCTTGCAGCCTTTCTTATTCATGGGGAGTGAGAGTCAGGGATCTAAAAACACTTTGTCTTCACTGGATTCATTTAGTATTCTGGGATTCAGGGAGGCTAATAAACTAATACGAGCTATTATTTAAAAGTGACCGTGAAGGATGATCCAAGCACTGCTGGTGTGCTGAGCACTCTCCAGCAGCAGTTGTCAGGTGGGAGCAGCAGAGGGAAATCATTGCTAAAACCTCAGCAAGATATCCCTCACTGCTCTGTGGCGGGTGTCCCACAACGCCCTGCCCACGTGGGATCGGGGAATGCAACTTGCAGTGGAGCTCCTGCAGCTGTGTCTGCAACGAAGGTGGCATTTCACGCCAGGGATGCCAGCAGGATGCACAGAAATATTCTGTACTTGGTGGAGCTTGTGCTTGACATCTGGTTTTCTTTATTAAGTGCTGCTATTGTTCCGAGCTGCCGTCTGTGCTCTGGCAGTGCCCGTAACGATGTGTGCTTCCCACGTTGCCGGCACACGCATGCTGAGAAAATGCCTGTCGCCGTCCTTTAACAAGGATACGCTGACAATCTGCAAGAGAGAACAATACCCTTGGGCTGCAGAATGCAGTTTCCCCCCGGTACTTTAATGAACACTTGAGATATTTCTAGGCTGTAGGAAGAGGAGGTGGGATAGATGGTTCTCCGTTCCGCTCCTTTCTGAGCCTGGCTCTGCATGCCAGACGCTTTCAGAAAGATGAATAATTCCCTACAATTATTGTATTTACTGTGTAGTTGTAGGCATAGTGTCATCACATTGCTTATCCCTTGGAGGTCTCTTGAGTGACTGTAATCACAAGTGGGCTTTTATGTTGTCTGTGGCCTTTTAAGGCAGGGAGCATACGCAGCTGGATCCTGTGCCTGCGCCGAGTGTGCTGACTTTGGTCGGGAACTGTGGGAAGCTGTGGGGCCCCCCCAGACAAAGCCCTGCGTGAGGGATCTGAACCCTGGCAGGACACCCTGCCATTTACATGGACTGACTTCCCAGCCGCTGTGTGTATCAGGAGAGGGAAAGCTTTGGGAATATAAACCCTTCCGAACTGCTTGGAGTCACAGTATTTATAAATACTCTAAGCTTGTGTTTATAACTGTACAATATTCTACGCAAATACTAATACCATATTTTTTCTTTCTTTGTAGTGTACAGAGGCCAAAAAGCATTGCTGGTACTTTGAAGGATTATATCCTACATATTATATGTAAGTAGTCATCACTTTTCTAGTTCAAGAGAGAATTAGATTCTGCAGGCTCTTAGGCTGTTGTTCTTTCCCTAATTTTACTTTTTCCATAACTTCTTCGAGACTTCTATAATAAAAATGAGGATGCAATAAGCTTTCGTTTCCCTCCTTCTCTGTGACCCATCTCTTTCCCTTTCTCCTTATTAAAAGGAGTGTACAGACTCATTTTGCCACGTACCCCAGGTGACCTTTCCAATTGAAAACAAAACTCGCGTCCTTAAACGTCTCTTATTTCAGAACATTGAAAGGAAACATAAGTAGAGTTGTGTAAGGACAGTTCTCCCTTTGTTATGAGCAAGGGCAGGCAATCAGACAGAATATCAAGAATGCTTTGAAAGTAACTTTGTTTCCCTGCTAACACTGTTGTTTAATTTAGGGAGTAGAGATGATTTGTTATCTGTGGCATAACTGTCCTTTTGATGAGTGGCATCTGCATTCACATAAGGCTTGGTTGGGAACAAAATGTAAATGACCTGTGGGTGTACGATTGAGGATGTCTCTAAACTGCAGTTTTCTGTTTCATATTACCCTCAGCAGGATAAAAAAAGTGGGGGAAATATGTGGGTGGGAGGTTCGTTCCAGGTGGATTTGGGGGCAGAAAGGAGATAAACGTAGTAAACTTTGTCCCCAGGTTGTGTAACTTTATAATTGCAAACACTTGTAAACATAGGTTTAGAAAAACAAAAACAAAGCGGGGTGGAAGACTAGGTAGCAGCATTAGGTTATCCGTTCCCTGAGCAAGCTCTTCCCTGCTGAAGGATTGGAAAGTACTGTAATCCTTATGCAACTGAAGAACTTTCCTCCCTTTTCTTCTCCACCTCCACTTCATCTGCCAGAAGCAGGAGAGAAATGCTAGAGACAAAATGCAGTGAGGAAGCCAGGCAAGAAACAAAGCTCACTGAAAGAATGAAACACTGGATGACTTAATCATCTGTGATCCTGGATATTAACTGCTTAGGAAGTGTTTGTGCCTAGAACTCACTGTATTTTTTTCAGGTGACTGAAATGCTGAGAATTACTCATAAATGGTTGGTTAGAACAGATGGGGGAATTTAAATAAGAGAATTTTCTTTGCATGCTAATAACAACAGGATTAGTGGTTCCACCTACGTTTTATTTTGTTTTGCTTCAGTGTGAGAAAGAAGCTGGGATGTTATGAAATGATGAAAATTCCACTGTACCTTAACGTTCAGGAGCGTGTTATTCATTGTCACCTTGGTGTTCTGCTTATATTTCTGCCCACATGCTTTCAATAGCCAGTGTTCTTCTCCCTTGGCAATGCTTGGATATTGGGTGTTAGTTCAGACCCTTTGTGCCCCAGGTAAATACATACAGAGTCCTGCAAAAGGAAGGGGTTCACAGAAAGTTCTGTTGTGTATTGGCAATGTCAGATCAATCAGAAGACTGTTACTAGTTCTTGTGTGTTTTTGGTAGTTACTGCAGCACCATGTTATCTGAATCACTGCATAAAAGTGTTGTGATTTCCAGTCTCCTGAACAGTGTAAGGAAATGGAAAAAGGAAGGGGGTGGGATGTGTGTGCTCAGTGAAAGTTTAGATGGTGGTGAGTGTCACAAAGAAACACTAAGGAAGGACAAAAAGCTGAGAGGATAGATAATGTATGACAAGTGAAGTATTTGAGGTTTAAAGGGGGCATGATCAAAACAATAGGAAGGTCATTTAGATCTTCAGGGTTTCCTACTTTGTTACTTATGCAATTTCAATTTCTGTTGTCTAGGATCCCCAGCTGCTTCCTACCTGTGCTGTCTTTTCACATCTGTATGGTGGAGGAGAGGGACAACACCGATCTCAATATCTTAGGGTGAAGTCCCATTGCCTGAGCACTTGTTTGACCCTTCACTGAGTTAATTCAATTTGCTAATCCCACAGAAAGTTGCTCATTTTAGCACATTCGAGTCGGTGTTGAATCAGCATGGTACAGTTTTTGGCAGACGCTGGTGAAATGGGAGGAAGGGAGTATTCTGCATATTATGGGGGAGGAGGCATGAATAGCTTCGTCTCCATTAGCATATGGTTATATGTTAAATCTTCTGAAGGCATAATATGTAACTTTATCCTGAGAGTGCCTCCTCTGTGCAAATCTAGATCTGGGATGTGCTGTAGTGAAACGGGTTTTATTTTTTCTTACAATTTCTGTAGCAACAGTCCCTAAGAAGCAGATATATTTAGTTAAATGGTTTTGCACTAGATTCCATTCCTTTCTGTCGCTAGTTTTCTGACAGAACATTTTTTTCTACCCAGTTAACATATGTAGTCTTTCCTTTGGTCTTGAGACTATTTTTGAAGACTTAGCGAAACCCAGCAACCCTTTTTAATAATTTCCCTGTGATTTCAGTCCCATGCTGGCACCATGTAAGACCTCTCATGAAGACAGTTTGTATCATCATGGAAAAGTTGGCATGTGAGCTCAGAAATGCCAAATCCTCTGTCTGTTCACAGATGTAGTGGGGAGTGCTGGGACTGAGGTATCCCTGGACTGGCATGTCTACATGCCCTGTCATTCCCTGGTAAGGCACATCCTCCCAGAAGGTGCCTCTCTTTAAATTACCCAGATTAATAGAAGTACAGTGGATCAGCACATAAAATGGTGGCTTGCTTTTATCAGAAATTTAAAGGCAAGACAGCTGAGTTAATCTTTCCTGTAAAGGCTCTGCTTCAGCCATCCAAAGACAGAGATAAGAATGTGTCTGCTAAGCAAGAGGAGCACGGGATAAGAAATCAGCGTGCCAAAATAAGTGTTCTGGAAATTCAACTAGTTGGGGGGGGGAGGTAAAAGTTGCAGTGATATGACTGTTCTTTCAGAGCTTAAGTTAGTTTCTTAGGTTGCGCTTTTCTTTTTTTTTTTTCTTTTTTTGTTTGTTTGTTTGTTTTTTATTCAATCTATCTTTCAATGTAGTTATTTAAAAAAGAAAAATCTGTTAGAGGTGTTGCTCAAAACTTTCCTAAAACATGTTGGTTATTCTTTCTGTCTTAACAGGCGGGGCAGTGGTTGAAGATCTCCATTACAGAACTGATACATCTTTCTGTCCCAATATTTAACAGTATTAGTACCTTTTAAAAATTATTTTTCAATGGGACATAATTGTTCTATCGTTCATATATCATCAGTAAACCTTAGTGTAATTCAAACATGCTTCTTCCAAATAGAATTCAATTTCTTAAGGCTAGACTGAGGATTTGATAGTTTTCCAAACTTTTTCCCTCTCCTGCACGAATAAGACACAAGTTATTCAGAACCAGAAACGAACATGGAAAGCTTACTAGGAATCTGAGAGTCATAAATTAGTCTTATCCTGTTAATACAGAGAATTTCCAAGACTGCTCGTAACTTACTTCACTAACCAAAGTAACCATTTCTCCATGTCGTAGTTGCCCAAGTTGCAAGATATTGTTGCCAGTTAGATACTTTTCTCCTGCTTCAGCAAAATGTTTATTTATATGACCTGGGAAAATAAGTAAACAAATGCAAAGAGGAGAAAGGAATTAGTCATTGGAGTCTAATTCTTATTCTTTGGGAAAGCAGGGTTATCCGAGTTATTCCTGACTTTGCTTAAAGAATTAGATCGTACATCTCCTTGTGTGGATGCAGAGAAAGGAATTCAGAATTGAAGCTGCCTCACGAGACTTGACTGAGATGCTCTACAAGGACCCTCATCCTACCCTCGCTTAAGTAAGCCATCTCAGCCTTATTCTGTACATGTTGATGGCTGGCAGAAGAAATGGTCAAGGTACTTCTTTTTCACGGCAATAATCTGAACAGTAACATAGTGAGTGCATTAGATTGCAAAACCACCTCTTCTGTATGCAGATACCGGCAGCACTTAAGATACTCCAGGTGTTTTTGCCAATTCTTAACTGAGAATGAATAGGAGAGGGAAGGCTGCCTTACATTTTGCTGATGAGGAGTAGTTTGACTAGAATGATTGTGAATGTCCTCCTCTTTGCAGGGTGAAGTCTGTTCCCTGGTATGACTGATCAGTCCCATAGGTCTTTTCTGTTTATTTTTCCTTCAACTGAGTCAGAATCACGGGATATTCTGAGCTGGAAGGGACCCACAAGGATCATCGAGTCCAACTCCTAAGTGAATGCCAGTTGTTAGCTGCCGTCACGTCGGAGCTTTTAATGAGGAGATGAATTCCAGATGCTAGAACCTGTGTGTTTCTAATCCTCTCCTTGCCAGCCTTTATGGCATGTTTATGAGGCAGCACAAATGTTTTTGAGTATGAGCGATGAGCATGTGTCCACAGCAGTAGAAATGTCATGGCTGATGTCACTGGATCAGTGAAGTAGTCACCCACAGGGTGATTGGCTTAAGAGTTTTGATATTACTCGGTGTTGAGTTAACGTTTCAGCTCATCCTGTTGGATTACTGTGTATTACGCTTTTAGAAAATGTGATATTCTAAGAGAAGTAGTGAGGAAAACAGATTAGAAGATTAGGAAACAGAATAACTTGAGTGGGAAGGCTCTCAGGAGACACTGAGTCCAACAACCTGCTCAGTGATGGGTCAACCATGAGGTCAGACCAGGTGGCTCAGGACTTTTAACTATTTAGGTCTTGAGAAAACTCCAAGGAAGAAGATGGCACAACCTCTCTGTGCAACGTGCTCTGCTGCCTAGCTGCCCTCTTGGTGAATAAGTTCCTTCACGTACCTAGGCTGAACAAGCCCAAATCCCTCGCTCTCTCCTCACCGGGCAAATAGCCACAGCCCCTCTCTATCTTGGTGGCCTTTTGCTGAGCTCGTTCCAGTTTTATTCTTTTTACTGGGGATACCAAAACAAAATGTGGTGGTTTAGGTATGGTCCAACAAGTGCTCAGCAAAAGATAATAGTTACTTCCCTTGCTCCACTGGCTGGGCTTCTGTTGCCACAGCCCAGGGTGCTGGCTCACGGTGCACTGCTGGCTCATGTTGACTTGCTGTCTACCGTGACTCCTGGTGCCT